CGACAGGATACGTCGAGGAAACCGTTAAAAAGTTACCGGACCGGACGAAAGGCCGGTGATCAAGACGAAGACGAAGGAAAGAGAGGGCAGAGATGACGTTAGCTTTGACTTGGACGACGAGGAAGGGGAGGTAGAGAATGAAGAAGTGAAAAAGGAGAGGGTGCAAGAGAAGAGGAGAAAGAGGCATACCAGAAAGAGAGAAAAGGACGAAATCTACGAGAGAGACGATCGTCTACAAAGCACGAGGAGTGTAAATAATACTAAGGCTGATTGTGGGCGTGGCTGACAGAACTCTAAAAACCTTCGACTATATATCAAAGGGTTTACTGCCCTTGGATGATTCTCTCTCTCGTAGCGAAAAAGAGACGCTGGAAGAACAAATACTGGACTGCTGCGTGTGAGAGGAGTGGGAAGAAGCAGAAGTAACTCTGGCAGCACGGACGAGGAGGCAGAAGGGAGAGGGAGGTCCAAGGAAGAGGAAGGATTCCTCGAGGATTCGGTGTAGTCTCGAAAAGGAAAGTTCTGCCGTTTCTCTCGTACGTTATTGCCGTTACCGGTGCACTGCGAACAAGATTGGTTGCTTCTTCTGCTTCTGCTTTCTGTCCCACTTCGTAACCTTCTTCTCGTAGCTTCTACTTATCGGCTGTAAGATGACTATGTCTCAATATTCTCGCGTCGTTCTCCACGACGGGAAGAGTCAAGTATTTTTGTATACATCACTACATTATGCATACATGCATTGACTAACGTCAATATTATTAATTTATTGTAAAAATTGTTACACGAATATTATTTGAGTTATTCCAGCTATAACTGTCTATTAATAAGACATAGGCTTCATCAGTCGCGGGATACCTGCATCTCAATACGTCCCATGTTATCCGATCGATCGATTAAGTAGAATGGTAGAGAAGGAAAACGAGGAAAGAGGAATACGGCGAAGCGGAGGAGGAGCAAGGAGGTGTGGATACCCATGGCATCCACTCTCTTCTCTGTTCTTCTTTCCAGACTCGACAGACGTTGGAAGCTACCTCGATGGCTGCCCGCCTGCCTACTTGCTGGCCCGAGATGCTCGCCTGGTAAGCTGGCTGGCTGGCTGGCTGGTTGGTTGGTTGGTTGCTTCGGCTCTCGATTACTTGAAAAACCGGATTCCTCCTGCGCGAAACTGTGTTTCCCGTCTTGTGTTTATGTACCCACACACGTCTGAGGAACAATATTGGTTATTCCGCTGCATGTGTAGCGCGTCCTCTCCCCGTTACACTTCATTTTATCTTTAATCGGCCCAGATTCTTGCGCTTAGATAAACGTCGCGATCGTTTACGCACTGTCTCAATAGAGTGAGAAATCGAGAGTCAGGGTTTGCGATTCGACGATCGGAATTTGGAACAGAAGAAGAGAGCAGCGTCAGTGGTACTCGATGAGTCGCGATGTCATCGGCCCCGTAGCCGGAGGGTCGGTGTTCGAGGGTTAAATCCGAAGGTTTCGAGGGAGTCGGTGTCAAGGGTAAACGTATACTTGCCTAAGCACAAACACGCCCACACAAGTATATAAACGTGCTTATGATGGAGCAGGGCGAGCGTGGACTCCGTCGTTTGGTAAGAACAATGAACGACGGGACCGCGGATACACACCGAGGACGGAGAGGAGAAAACGGGCACAAAGGGCATATCTTCCGAATAATTTCACATGGCCCTCTGTTCGCCGGTAGTTAGTCGACCGAAAGATGCGCGCGGTCCTTCACTTGAAAGACGAAAAGAACCGCAACGACGAGTCGAAATTCTGCGACGCGTAAGCCTCGGGGGAAAATATTTTCGAAGATCAAACACGAAACTGGCTGCACTGTTCTTGAACCAGTTTCTACTGTTACAGATAAAATTTATATAAATTTATCGATGAATTTTTATATCGGATGAACAGTAAATTGTAGCTTAATATTAATATTGATCTCTCTCTGCATATTACATCTTTTATATGAAATACGTTTTCAAATTATATGTAGGCATATATAAGCAATTCGTAGTAATTACTAAAACAAGAACAGATTTTATGCTTAATAAATTCCATTTATTGTGCATACGTGGTTCAGCCCTTCATTCATCCGACCGTCGTGGCGGCGGCGAGTCGTAGGACGAAAGAAGAGACGTGACGAGACCGACGAGAGATACCGGGCACTCATTTAGTCCGGCAATTTATTCTCGCGTTTTGTAATTAACACCAGGAAAGAAGTAGCAGAAGTTATTCTTCTCCTACGGGCACGGGACGGCATGGCACGGGTGGAAGCGACTACTCCGGTCAGCCTGCCTCCTCCCTCTCCGTCATTTCGCTTCGACTCGCTCCACCTTCAACTCTTCCTTACGTGAAGAAAACGTACGTATCACTATTAAGCGTCAGGGCGGTTGAGGCCCGGAACCTCCTGGACCAACTTGAGAATAAGAAACAGAAGAAGAAGAAGAAAATGGAGAAGAACGGCGAAAGGAGGAGACGCAGATGAGGAGGGAGAGGAACGGAAAAGAGACGGAGAAGAATGGAGAAAAGGAAATGGGGGTGGGAGGTAAGAGATGAGGCGACGGCGGGGCGAGAGCGAAGGAGAACGGAGGAGGATGATGGAGGCCTCTCCTCTGCATGCCACCGCAGTCAGCCCCAGACAGAAAGCGGTCTGTATAATTATGGGTTGTCACCTCATCAGCTCCGAGAGGGGAAGGGCCGGGGAAGGCGGCGGGGGGGGGGCCCCACCTCTGCGGCGGGGGCTGGGGACGGGGGGTTATAGGAGTGCAGTCTTTAGCTCAAATTGTGTTTTATCGTCTTTCGCATTTGGCTTTAGGGTACCAGCGACCGGAGGGTGATTGAGCCGCCCGGAGCGGCCCCCTTCTTTCGGGCTTTTGCCCGATGTCTTCTCGAAAGGTGTCCGTTTTTACCAAACGCAACGCGGTGTCGATTTTCGGGTATAATCGCACGTCGCATGTCCACTCGCTCGCTCGCAAGCGGGTGCTCGTTTATTACGAACGGAATGAGTTAAACCGAACGATGTTGAAAGAAAAAAGGACGCGCCCGCGTTCGTTTTCATCTCTCTCTGTCTCTGAGGGAGACGAGCGAGAGTTGTGCGTAGAGAGTCACGCGTCAAGGACCTCGAAACGTCTTCATCGATCGCGGAATGCCGACGCTGCATGCATTGTGGTCGGTAAATACGTATTGTCAGGACTGTAAAATCGCGAAACGAGCGTTTTAGGTATCCACAATGATCAGAACGTGCCCCGACGTGCCCCCTCTTCGCCCGTCTCCCTCGCTTTTGTGCCCGTTTCTCGGTTTCGCCCTTCCTCCCTTTCGCGCATATACGTGCCAGTCTGCGCGAGGGCACATATACAAAAAGGGGCGCTGCGCGAGAAGGTACTGAGGCTAAGTGGCGAGTTTAGAGGGATTTCATTAAATCATATGGATTGGGGATAATGTATGTTATTGAGCGGAGCGTTCAAATCGCGCTCTATAAGTTGTAATAAGTCCAATTTTAGGGCCGGTCATGGGCCGGGTCTCGCAGTGGTTGTCGGACGATTCGGTCGCCCGCCGGCCGTTGGCTGCCAATTGGCCCGGGGCCGGCACGGAATGACAGTCACTGGGACCGGCGAACCCGCCACTTACTCGTCAAACGGCCAGCCGGTCCGCCGAAATCACTGCCATTTAGATAATTTGTAATGAATAGGCACCACTCATTTCATACCCCTACCCCCGCTTCTCCCTCTTCTGGTCCTTCTTCTCTCTCGTGCACGATCTGGGCCCCGAAAGTACGCGCCGGGTCGGGCTGGCAATGACAACAGTATAGTTTATCCAATATTTCATAGGTCGGCGCGGATGACGGTTCCGAGAAAGACGTAATAAATCGCGATAGAGAACGCCGCGAGCCCCCTGAGACCGACGAGTTTACCCGAGGCCACTTAGGAAAGAATTCGAGATTTCATCCTCGCCCGAGCGGGAAGGAATGACCTCGACACGTTTTAAATGGGTGTGTGCATTCACTCGCGGAGAACGCCGTGGGCAGACGCATAACGTGATTGTTAGACGCCGGAGTGAATCTACGTCATCCGAGTGCATAATATAAGATCGCATATAGATCGCCGAGACATATTCGAGGAGGAAACATATCGATATCGGCACCGCGTGTTGGCATAACAAATAGCATAACATGGCGCGCGACGTCCCGTCGTATACTTCTCGCGAGCTTTCCCCGCGACGAGAGACACGCGGCATCGATCAAAAAACGTGACTGCGCATACATTATCACACCACGTTGTCGACTAACGAGAGAAAGAGAGAGAAAGGGAAAGAATCGGTCGCGCTCGTCTTGAAAAATCGAGGATTCGGGGTGACGGCGAACCACGAAGAATAATACAGGCGCGTTACCACACGTTCGATATCGAATATATGGGAAATAAGCTCGACACGGGGCGAGAGGCAGAGGGAAATGGGCAGGCATCGATACAGTCAGGCGATGAAACCCCGGCTCGGCGGTCTACCCGGGGCCCCACGGATTCGCGAGCGTATCCATCACGGTGGCTAGCTAAGGCGTCGCGCAAACACACGGGTCTAGCGGCGGACGCGCGAATCAACGCGCAGATTATATGCAGAGGCTACGCGCCGCCGCCTGTTGTGATTGATATTTGGTTAAGCGGCACGGCGATCCATCAAGCCCGCAAAAGCGCTCTTTATCCTTGGCTCGCCAGGAGCTACACGTCTCACCCGATTCCGGTGAAATCCGGATACATGGCCGTTCTCTCCCTCTCCCCCTTCCCCAGTCAGCCTTTGGTTCTCTCTCGTCTCACGGGCCTTCTTCCCGTTTCCTCCCGGCCATTGCTGCAGCCACGAAAGGCGGAGGATGATCGATAATTGAATTTACGCAGTTTCTTCGCGGGATGGTAGGGGGAAGGGTTATAACACATCACGCATTTGCGTACGTTGTTTAAATCGTACGATAACGGGATTTTAAACGCGTTTACATATTCTGCTTGCAGATGTACCAAGGATGGAGAAATCACCGCTTCTGGCGAATGGATACAATCACCCTCCCACGCACCTGAGTCACATGCAGTTCATGCAACTCGGCGGGCATCCAGGTGCCGGACACACCGCCATCCTGTCACCGGCCAGTCTGCCGCATCACCTACAAGCGCAGGCACAGGCTCGGGCCGAGCAGGGTCTCAAGGTCAACCCGAATATGACGAATATGGAAGCCCTCGCGAGGTGAGTCCTCCCTCCTTCCTTTCTCGGTTCATCTCGCCGTCGCTCAGGAGCGACGAGAAACCGCAAGCGGTCGCTCTCTCGCGAGCGACGATATTCCGGAAGCGGCGCTTCCTCGCAGCGGGAAACATTTTCATTAACTTCCTCCCCGAAGTTTACGAGCCGGGGACAAGTCGTGCCGGACGAGATGGTAATAGAGGCGCGAGGAGAGGCACGGTAAGTCGACGAGGAGCGGAACTCTCGTTCGGGGCTTCTCGGTTATATAGCTCCGTGAGCTTCGTTCTTCGATTCCAGTTTTACACCTGCTTTCGACGCTAATCGACGGCTCATTCGAAAATTGGATTTATTTGTTCTGAGTGCCTCACGGCGATCTCTCTGGCCGGCGAGGCCAAAAGAATACGACTTTAAGAGGATTGGCAAAAGACGGCGAGAAGCCGTGGAAATCCGAGGGGTCTTGACACCGCTTGATCTCTTCCTCCTTGCATCTCTCTCCTTGTTACCCTAGGCCCCTCCTTCTTTTGTCTTCGTGTCTTCCTTCGATTTCGCTTTCTCAGACGCCCATCATTTACTCGGCTTGGATTACATTCCACTGCGACGCGCACTAACGCGTCGATGATTAATCTCGTTTCCTGGATGTACTTACGATCAAGCGAGTGTTACGTGAATTTATTGAATTTTTACTGATCACGTGAAATTTGATTGTATATAATAAATCGTTTGTTTCTGAAAATAATAATGAGGAGAAATTATTTAATTTTGCATACTACGAAAACGTGGGGGATCTCTCGCGTTGTCTCAAGTACGCGTTTCGTACGACGTTATTATTCATGATTCGGATCGACCTTGAGATTCTACTAGCGTTTAGGTCTACCCTCTTGTGGCGTTAGACCATCTTTGAAGACGCGAAGGCCTTCTTGGGACGGCAAATCCTTGCCGCGTTACGCGCAGTCCCAAGACGAATATCGTGGCTTATTCGGCTTCGTGAAGTGTGTGTGGAGAGCCGCGAAGAACCGAGGAGAAACGAAAGGAAGAGTAAGAGAGACAGAGAGAGAGAGAAAGGAGCACCAAAGGAGCAGCATCCTCGTCCTTGCTCGAGGGGGTAGACGGGAGGCTAATCCCGGCATTTGTTAACGCGTTTCTAATAGATGCTCTCGGTATATTCCCGCTCGCCGCGCGTCGCGATACGCTCCTGTAGCCGGCCGGAGCTTTCGAGGATACGGAGACTCGCCTTAATTTTCGATTACATCCGCCTCGTGTAATTAGCCCCATCCTACTAACCGTTACCCCCTTTGCTCGAGCTGTTCGCTTTAGGCGGCGCACGCCCGGAAAATCGGGATTTAGCGGCAGATATAGATATATAGAGGGATTTGATCATTTCTTCGTTTCGGTCGGTTTTGCGATCGAGCAGCAGAGAATGATTTCTCGTTAGCATATCGGGCGAAATAACGATTGAAGACAAAGATATGAAAGAAGCAAGGTTAAAGAGATATTTTTCTCGTCGCTCGACTAGATCTCACTTACGTACTTCGGGTATAAACTTGACAAGGGCGCTGGGCAAGATTCTTAATGTGGAGCCGGCGCTCCGGATTTTTAACGCGTCTCAATCTTTCTTAACGACGTAACGTGCGTCCGTGAGCGGGTGTAGCAACGTGCGAGAAAACGTGTGCGTGTGTGCTAGCGGACGCGCGCGTACACGCACACACGCGGGCGTGTATAATGACACGGCGAAGGCGGCGCCGCACGTTTCGCATTATGATTTCAGCGCTTTGCTTTTAATTAAAATGCAAATCTATCGCGGCGGAGGAGCGAGCGAGCGAGAGAGATCGGGAGGTAAGACGGATTACGTCTGGGGGCGCCACGACAAACACCGGAATATGATTAATTCAACGCAACCCCATCCTGGGATACCGACGCCACCACCGTCACCGCGTCCACCCGCCGTCCCCCCCTCTTCAACCCTGTCCTGCCTTGTCGCCACCCCTTAACTTGCCGTATCTCCTTCGTCCAACTTCCCCGGCCCCGGGCTTTCGTCACCCTGCGTTCGTGACCTTTCCGACCAGTTTCTACGGACGACACGTACGGCTTTCCTCTGCATCTACCACTCGCTTTTCTTCCTCGCTTCTCCCCCATCGTCATCGAGATCCGTTTCCTGCCCGTGCAAATACAGCAAAATTATCAACGTAAGTCCGTGGAAACCGTGTCAGGCGTATTGACATTAGGAACTTCTCTTCAGGGTGATGTACTTGGATAGGCATTTTCAGAACGCGGTCGATGCCATCTGATTTCCGTTTCAGTTTTATATTGCGCAAACGAAGATTCGTTCCCCCCCTGATTAACTTATCCATTCCTTTTTCTTGTATTTTTTTTTTTGCCTTCGCGACCGGCGAAATTCTAAGTCGCAAATTAACTCCGCTCCTGCCGCGCTGACATCTCTTTTTTAATCAGCGACATCAAAGGTTCTTCATTCCCGGTGCGTTCGGCAACGGTCGGAATCGTGTCGTAATCGAGAGACGAGACGGGACGGTACGGAACAAGGACTCTTAATCAGTGTCCTCTCGCAGGAGGACGCCTCGCGATTAAGCGACTTCCACCACGATCGCCGAACGACGCGTTTCTCCTTTCGTTTCCCTTTTGGTTTGCTCGCCGTTCCGGCCGAGGCTTAGGCTTTCTTTTCCATTTTGTCCGTGTCGTAACCGCCTTTTGTTTTGTGCTCCACAGGTCCGGGACGGTTTGGGAAAACTGCCGAGCTGCCTACGAAGATATTGTCAAACATCTCGAAAGGTAGGACATCCAAAACCGCATTAAAAAGAAAATAAACAAGATATGGTGGGAGAAAAAAAAATAATCGTGCCGGACTATGGTCCGCGGTCTTCGCATTTTCACGTAGAAATTTTGGGTGCGTTTCGAGGGGCGCGAGTGATAACGCCCGAGCGTGGGGGAGGGGGGGGGCTCGCGCAACGCCGTTCATCCGTGAACCCGTAATTCTCGATTAGCCGGAAAAATCGCGCTACATCACGGATGGCAGCAAAAATACAGAACGCAACGCGAACGGCGGGCTCGATGACGCCGGCGGCCTAGGCCGCCGCTGCACTTCCGATAAATCAGTATTATCCGGGGAAGCGGTATCGAGTTTCCGGTCGCGCGACAAGTTGAGTCCAGGCCTGACGTAGTAATGCCGACATGATTTGTATGGTGCGAGAGCTCGCGCGTAACCCCCTTTGCTCTCCTTCTCCGCACCGTGCGTTCTATCCCTCTCCTATCCGCCGCAAAATCCATCCGACCGACCGACGGCCTCCGTTTCATCCGACACCAACACAGCCGCGGCCGGAGAGCGAGCCACCGAGGTTTCCGCGTGATCCTAACCACTTGTCACTTCACGGCACGCAGATCATCGTCGCGACGTGCCCGTCCATCATTCGGGGATTAAATCATTCGAGTGCCTGCGAAATACTCGCGCTCGCCGAGCCATTGCTGCTCCGAAAGGGTTGATTTCGGAAAGGGGCTTTGCACCCACACCCCCTCGTCGACCTAGGCGGAGAGGGTGCGAAGTAGCACAGACTCTGCTTCATTATTGCTCTCTTTTTCTCCTTTGAGCTCGTTGTCGTTTGCCTCCGCAAAAACGAAAGGTTGCGAGACACAAAAAGGATGAGAGGGAAGAAGCGCTACGTGCGCCGAACGACGCATCTCGAAAATCTTCCGTTTCACCCTCACCGAAGGAGGTATAGAAGGTGCGAGAGAACGGAGCAGGTCCTCGCGCCTCCACGGTGAGTCTGGTAGAGAGCCGTTAATACGGGGGGTGAAAATCGACACTTGGCCGTCCGAAACGTAATTTCCAATTCAAAGGCAATGACCACTGGTCGAGCCCCCGCCGCCAACCACTCACTCGGCCCCCGCACGCGCTCACCCGCCGCCTGTGCGCCGCCCTTTCTCTTTCTCTCTCTCGTTCTATTTGCTTTACCGTCGACCCCACCGTCGACTTCGTCAACCGGACAAACGCGTATTGTGATTTCAGCCTTTGACTGGTGGCCGTTCGATGGATATCGCAGGGGGTGGTAAATGGGCACGAGGCCACGGGGAGCGGACGTGGATGCTGGGAGCGGGTCGGGAGGTATGGGGGGCACGAGGGGCCGGGAAACGGAGTAGCGAGAGCGACGGGGGTGGTTTGCTGTGGAAGGGCGGCGGACCGGCGAGCGCACCGTGAATATTCATGGCGAGAACCCTAGACGAATTCGGACTTGTTGCGACTGACACTGATGTAAACCTTTGTTTATCCTGCGTGGCCCGCGCGTTCGTTCGTTCCCTCGAGATACGCGCCAGCAGCCGCGCAGCCGAGGGCGATTCTCGAGTATTTAACTGCGAGTTAAATTCTGATTAATCGACGGCGCCGGCTTTATTAATTGTTTGTCCTTTTGATTTTACAACGTTCGCAGAACGCAGCCTGCGACCGAAGACTGCGTTACTCCTTCTGCCGTTTGTTTCACCCTTGCTCACCCCCAAAACGCCGCCGCGTTTTAATCCCGATGATTTGTTCCCGCTAATCCATTTGATCTACTCGCTCGGAGGAAAACTCCGATTTCCCCTTAAGTCTATCCGCCAGTTCAGTCAATTAAATCTCGTTAATCCCGCGTCACGGTGAAGTCCGTTCACGGATGGTCCACGTCGGTGGTTTAGATGCGGGATAAGATTTATCAGAATATTTTTTTTAATCTAAATAACGACCTCATTTCGCGCATTCGAAGGAGAGGAGTAACAGCTGTACAGTTGCCAATTTTTACATCGACATCGTCATAGTTGCATCCATCGATCATTTTCTTTTTTCGTCACGAGTGATATCGAATATTGAATCGAATTTTGGATATATATGACTGGCGGATAAGCAGACGTTACGAGCGGATGAAGGCGGAGTTGCGAGAGACGCGCGGTTTCCATCGCGCTCCCGTCGACCCTCGGCGCGCTGCGGTGGCGGCGGCGGCGGCGGCGGCTTGCGCGTTATGAAGTAAGTAATATTAATGGTTCCCCGCAGTCAGAATGTTCGGTATCAATGCGCTAATGTCGGCTTCCTGGCTTTAAAACTACCCAGTCATTCCGGCATAATTCAGGCGCATTGTCTGTCGCTGTCCAACTACCATCCGCCATCAGTTTCTCGCTGCCTTCCTACGGGTTCCTTATCGTCAGGCATCCCCTTACGCGTTGCCTGCCTCCGCGTCTCCGTTGCCCGTCCCCTCCCGCGCCACCCTCGTTCCGTACCTTGTCCCCCGTTCGTCGTCTCTCTTCAACCTAACTTGGAGCCACCCTCCCCGTCGCGTCCGCGACGTCATTAATTACGACGACGACGGCGACGACGTCCTATCGTCCAGGACATCTGCTGGAAAATAATATTCATAAAGTTGAGCCTCATCGTTACGATCGACTCTTTCTGCTTCCTTTCTCTCTCCCTCTCTTTCCACCGCGCGCTTGGGGTTTGCTTCTCGCTTCCTCCTCTTCTCCGTCTTATCCCTCCTGCGCCGTGCCAGCGAGATGACGTCGCCCATTTACATTTACGGTCATGGTTTCGTGGCTGCCGAGACCGCGTCCACAAAGAAGTACACCGACGACGGACGTAAAACGACGGACACGTCGAAACGCGTCGTAAGATATTTCACTTCTTGCCGCTTTGATAACCACGCGTGATTACCGCCGACGTCGAACGTCGAGTCGTATCTCGGGAATGGCACGATCGAGATTATCCTACTCATTTAGTACAACACTTAGCTTAATATGAACGATTCGTCTCAGTTCGATGCGCACGTTAACGTTTTATCTCATTTGATTAACAAAAAGACCAAGAATAAATACTTGAACTTGAAGTTTCATGGAATGTAAAACATAAATTGATATTAACAAGCATTTCTTATGAACGTCTGAATAATATAGAATTTTATTATTTTTCTTTAATTAATATTAAATTGTACACGTATGAGTGATGTAGTATCACGCATCGTCATCCATTATTACATTTTAGCATTCTGATTTATCATGCCCGGCTAACCATTATTGTACAGCATACTATTGCCTAGCGAGTGACTTTATAATAAGAAACTTGATAGTGGAATACACGCCATTTCGCGCGAATTACGTAGGAATAGGCGTTTATCACGTAATCGCCGGATAAGCACAGGTCGAAAAAATAACGTATCTCGGCGCAAAATCGGCCCCGGCTGTCGAACGATCGGCTCGGCCTCGTCTATCGCCGCGCGACGAGCGCGGCGAAATGGTTAATTCGACTCGGCGATCGCGCGGACGATAGCCGAGAGCCGTTCTCGCTCTCTTACCATCGCGAGCGGCACGCTAATTGCGTTCAAACGAACTGTCAGCGCGCGGACAGGCACACGGCGCAAACACCTACGGAGTAACTATAGTTACACGAGCGGCACACGTACGGCAGCGACGCGACGTGCGCGCAAATACGCGCATTGTGATTAATACCGTTTACGCGGCAACCGGTCCGGGCTTCGAGCTGTCAGCATGCCACCACGAGAATCCCCATAATTACATGATGCGCCGCGACGCGACGTTTTCCGCCTTGTCCGCTTAACTGCGCGTATATCGACGCGAATTCGAATTACCGAAGGTCATCACCGATTGTTTCTCTCTCTGGCAGTTCTACAGCTTTATAATTTATTCTCTTTCTTACACCGCTCGACTGATTGTCGCGATTAATTGTTACGACGTATTATTACGTTGCATTAGCAATGATGATGATGATTGCTCCGCTGATTATACCGGTTTTCTTTTATGAATAATCCGCAAGCGCGGGCATCAGAACGCCGTCCGCCGACGGTGGAGACCGTTCTCGCGTCTCAATATACACGCATAGGTGGAGGACTTTATCCGGGCAAGATTGCAAGATAGCAAATTGCGCCAAAGTAAAGTAAATTATGCGCGAGAATCGCTGTGCGATTATCCCGGCGCTGACAAAGCGTGCGTTAGTCACGCTATCACTCTCGTTCTTCCGTCTCCTCTCCGGCGCGCTGTTCCGCTGTATCGTATTCTTCGATTCTTCCACTATATGCCCACCCAGTAATTTCCCGACATAATTTTCGCGCGTAATTGCCGGTGTGCGGGCGCGATTGACTGGGCAATTACTCAGATATTTAAAGAAACACGATCTGCACCTCGTATTCAAGAGAAAGAGAAAAAGAAAGAGACGGAAAAGAGGGGAGAGGATGCACGATCGGGCTTTAGGGTCGCCTTAATTTCACGAGAGCGGGTTCGAGCCTCGCTCGTGGAGCAGGTATAAAATTCATCGCCAATCGCTTATATATTCCTCGCCTGGTCACCTTCGATCGCTCTTCGTCGATCGATTATGCCTGACGTTCCCGTGATCTAATCCCAGCAACAGACGACAATTAGCCCGACTATTTTTTGCGCGATGCGCTCCTCTCGTAGCGTCGTCGTGGCTCGCGTGATTCAAAGGGAGATCCCGCGCACGGAAATCGACGAACGGCACGGATAGTCAGCCAAAAAACAATCGATTCGCGACAGCCGCCCGGTGAGTTCGCGTTCGGCGAACTTGATCAATCGGCGGGCCCTTCTCCGAACCGATTATCGGCCGCTTATCGATGATGGCGCGCTCTAAGGACATAGGAACGACCAAGTTACGTCATGATCTTGTCGTGACCGAACGGTCGTGAAGTAGGTCCCTCACATCCTCTCTGAACGATGATAATGGATCGATCATTCCTCCACGGGACGATGTCGCAGCCGCGCGCACGTCCCGATTGATCGCGACGCGGCACGAA